ACAGGGACTTTTCTGCCTGTGCTAATTTGAAACTATGATGATTCTCTAGGTCTTAGCTTCCTGAGTAGCTAGGAATACAAGCAGCTGTACTTTAAATAATTTTTTATTTTTTGGTTGGTCATAGGGCTTGAGCTCTGGGCCTGGGCTCTGTTCCTCAGCTCTTCAGCTCAAGGCTAGCACTCTACCACTTACCACTTGCCACAGTGCCACTTCTGGCTTTTTCTGTTTATATGATGCTAAGGAATCAAACCCAGGGCCTCATGCATGTGAGGCAAGCAGTGAACCATTGAGCCACCTTCTCAGCCCTTTAAATAAATTTTTATTTAGTTGAAGGAGGTAGGCACGGGTGGCTCATGCCTGTAATCCTAGCTGTTCTGGATGCTGAGATCTGAGAATTACAGTTCGAAGCCAGTCCAGGCAGGAAGTCCATAACACTCTTACTTCCAATTAACCACCAAAAAAATTATAGAAGTGGCCAGGTGTTGGCAAGCTCACACTCATAATCCTAGCTATTCAGAATGCTGAGATCTGAGGATCACAGTTTAAAGCCAGCCCAGGCATGAGAGACCACGAGACTCCTGTTTCTATTTAACTACTAAAAAGCTGGAAATGGTGCTATAACTCAAAATTGGTAGAGCACTGGCCTTGAACACAAAAGCTTAAGGACAGCACCAGGACCTGCACAGAAAAAAAAAAAAAAGAGCCAAAAGTGGAGCTGTGGCTGGTGGTAGAGTGCTAGCCTTAAGCAAAGAATCTCAGGGACTGAATTAAAGTCCAGGACGGGCACTTCAAAAAAAAAAAAGAACCCTTAGTTTGAGACTAGACCAAGAATATAAAGTATTTTACCTTTCCATTTAAGATTATATTTATACATATGTATATGTGTATACACACATTTGTAATTTTTGCTTGAATTAGATGACTGCTCACAATTTACTCTTTGAATATTTGAGTACTTTTGGTACTCCTTAGATTTAATAGCTAGAAACTATGAATTAGTTGAGTTATTTTCTGTTTTATATTCAGTTTGGTTAGCATTTATTATGTATCCATTTGGAACTTTTATTTTTTAAGTAAAATTCACTTGATGTTGTTTGATCACCAGGGAACTGATGGTCTCATAAGAAAAAATGAGGGGCTGGGAAGGTAGCTCAGTGGTAGAGTGCTTGCCTTGCATGCCAGAGGCCCTGGGTTCAATTCCTCAGCACCACATAAGAAAAAAGTCGGAAGTGGTGCTGTGGCTCAAGTGGTAGAGCACTAGCCTTGAGCTGAAGAGCTGAGGGACAGCGCCCAGGCCCAGAGTTCAGGCCCCACGACCGGACCAAAAAAAAAAAGAAAGACTAATGTTAAGTTGCTGATATAACATTGGAAGCTGTATGAGAGCTACAAACATTGCTGTTAGAGTCTGGATTGAAAGTCTGAATCTGGCTCCAAGGTTTAAAAACTCTGGGTCAGCTGGGTGCTGGTGGCTCACGCCTGTAATCCTAGCTACTCAGGAGGCTGAGATCTGAGGATCGCGGTTCAAAGCCAGCCCGGGCAGGAGAGACCGTGAGACTCCTATCTCCAATAAACCACCAGAAAACCGGAAGTGGCGCTGTAGCTCAAGTGGTAGAGCGCTCGCCTTGAGCTGAAGAGCTGAGGGACAGCGCCCAGGCCCAGAGTTCAAGCCCCACGACGGACAAAAAAAAAAAAAAAGAATCTCATGGACTTTCCTGCCCTGGCTGGCTTTGAATCCCAATCCTTAGATCTCAGCCTAGTGAGTACCTAAGATTACAGGTATAAGTCACCAGTCTGACTCAAAAAATTTTAAAAGCAATATGACAGAATGGTAGAATTTATCTTAAAAGCAGCAAAGCAGGGGCTGGAAAAGTGGCTCAGTGGTAGAGTGCTGGCTTGCCTGAACGAAACCCTGGTTCAATTCCTCAGCACCACATAAGCAGAAAAAGCCGGAAGTGGTGCTGTGGCCTCAAGTGGTACCTTGAGTTGAAGAGCTCAGGGAGAGTGCCCAGGCCCAGAGTTCAGGCCCCAAAACTGACCAAAAAAAAGAAAAAAGGCAATGTGCAAGACTGGCAGAGTAGCCAGTTCCCAGCACCATAAAATAAATTTATTTATTTATTTATTTTTGTTGGTCATGAGGCTTGAACTCTGGGCCTGGGTGCTTTCCCTGCACTCTTCAGCTCAAAGCTAGCCTTCTACCACTTGTGCCACAGCACCACTTCTGTTTTTCTGGTGGTTCATTGGAGATCAGAGTCTCATGGAGTTTTCCTGCCTGGGCTGGCTTTGAACTGTGATCCTCAGATCTCAGCCTCCTGAGTAGCTAGGATTACAGGCGTGACCCACTGGTGCCCGGCTAAAATCAATTTTAAAAAAAGAAAGAAAGAAAAGGAAAGCATCTGGGGGCCTGGTGGCTCAAACCTATCATCCTAGCTACTCAGGAAGCTGAAATCTGAGGATTGCAATTTGAAGCTAGCCTGGACAGGAAAGTTTGACTCTTATCTGTAACAAACTACTCAGAAACATCCTGAAGTGGATCCTGTGGCTCAAGTGGTAGATCACTAGTCTTGAACAAAAAGAAGCTCACAGACAGCACTCAGGCCTTTAGTTCAAGCCTGGCAAAACAAAAAACAGGGAAACAGTCTCAAGACCATAAAAACAAACAAAAATCCAGTAGGGCTTTCTACTTATACTTTAAAGGTAAATACATATAAGAGGGTACATTGTTTTTGTTTTGCTTTTTTGTGTTCAGGTTCTAGGGCTTGAACTAAGAACCAGGGTGATATCACCTTAATTTCTTCACTCAAGGCTGGCACTCTACCACTTGAGCCACAGCTCAACTTCTCGGTTTTGTTTTGTTTTTTAAGTTTTTAAGGAGGTAAGAGTTTCACAGACTTTCTTCCCCTGGCTGACATCAAACCTAAATCTTCAGATCTTAGCCTCCTGAGTAACTGGTACTATGGGCATGGGCCACGGCATCTGGCTTTGTTTTGTGTTTCTAGAAATTTAATCCAGAAATTCACAATTGTTAGGTAATTGCTCTACCATTGAACCACATTCCCAGACCTGAGATTTCTTCTTTTAATTAACCAATGTGTGTGCGCGTGCATGTGCATGCACACAATGGTACTGAGGCTTGAACTCAAGGCCTCAAGTTCTTGGCTTTTTTGCTCAAAGCTGGTTCTCAACCACTTGAGCTACACCTTCACTTGCAGCTTTTGGATAGTTGATTAGAGATAAGAGTCATGGACTTTATGTCCAATTATCTTTGAACCTTAATTCTCAGATCTCAGTCTCCTGACAAGTTTAGATTACAGGTGTGACCGACCAGTACTGGCTTATTTAACTTTTAATTGTATACAGCATAATTTGAAATATGTTGTATATGTTGTAGAATGACTAGGTCAAACTTAATTTACGTAATTTGAGGTGAGAACATGTAAAACCTCTCAATGTTTTTTCAAGTATGCAGTACGTTCTTACTAGGTTTAGTCTCCATGTTGTTTTGTTTTTGTTTTTTAGTGATAACTGGAGTTTGATCTCAGGGCTTCCAGCTTGCTTGGCAGGTGCTCTACTGCTCAAGCCATGCCTTCAACCCTTTTTGTTCTGTTCTTTTTTGGGAAGGTGGGTTGGTTTGGGTTTGGGTTTCAGGTCTGGCTATTTTTTAAATAGGATATTGCTTTTTGCCCAGGTGGACCTGGACTGCCATTCTCCTATTTATGCTTTCTGCTGCAGCAGGCATGACAGGCATGCACCACCATGCCTAGCCTTTTCTGCTGAGATGGAGTCATGAACTTTTTGTCTGGGCTGGCCTTGAACTTCGATGGTCCCAATCTTAGCCTCTCTCCTAGCTGGTATGACAGGTAGGCATCACCATACTCAGCTATCGGTTGAGACGAGGTCTTGTATACGTTTCACTGGGGCTGCCCTCCAATCATGACCCACCCAGTTTCCACATCCTCACTTGTTAGAAAACAGATGAAACCAACTGGAAAAAAAACAGTGCTATGACTGAAAATTGTTATCCTTTCACTAGTGTACTCTTCCCTAATCTCCCTGGATGTATAAGATTTAAACTAGTTAATAGTTCTTTTATATAATTTAATCAAATATTTAGAGTTGAACTTCCTATTTGTCTAATAGCCTTTTGTTGTTGTTGATTTGAAACTGAATCTTACTATGTATCCCAGACTGTCCTGTGCTGCACCCCCTTCTTGCCTCAGCTTTCCAACTTCTTAGATTATATTTGGTAATCCACTGTGTTACACACACCTATCTCTGACAATTCTTTGTGGTGGAAGACTAACCTGAGCATTGTAGGATATTTCATATTGCCTCTATCCACCTGATGTCAGTAGTGACATTCTGGCCAGTAATAACCAAAAGTGTCTCCAGACCCTGCCAAAAGCCCCTGAAAGTCATCCCACATTGAGCTGTTTCAGTCTGTAGGTTGTCACTTCAGTCTTTCTTTCCCTTTATTTTTCCCCATTGATTTGCAAAAGAAACTCAAAGTTAATCCTGCTATGTTTCCCTTAGACTGGATTTGTCTATTATTTCTGCAATGTGCTTTAACATCCTCTATCATCAGTTTGCTATTAATTGGAAATTGGATCTAGCGACTAATCAGTTACAGGCTTTTTGTATTGTTTTGGTGATATTGGGGCTTGAACTCAGGGTTAGTGTTCAGTAGGCTTGTGCTCTACCACTTAGATCATACCTCCAGCCCTACTTTTTGCTGGTTACTTTGTAGATGGAATCTCAGACCTTCTTGCCCAGGCTGGCTTTAAATAGTGATCCTCTTGATCTCAGCCTCTTAAGTGTGAGCCACTGGTGTGCCCAGCAGTTACAGACTTTCTTTATCGTTCATCAGGAGGCACATGATGTTCTTTTGACCAATTACTGATTCTTAATTCATTCATCAGGGATCTTTTTTTGTTTTAAAATGTAAGTTTTCATTTAGTCAAGCTTTATCTTAAATAACAATCTTATGTTCTTCCTTAATAAAGGAAGGGGAAATGGAAGGTGAGGCAGTCGAAGCCATTGTGGAAGAGTCTGAAACTTTCATTAAAGGAAAGGAGAGAAAGACTTACCAGCGACGCCGGGAAGGTGGCCAGGAAGAAGATGCTTGCCACCTACCCCAGAACCAGACAGATGGGGGTGAGGTGGTACAGGATGTCAACAGCAGTGTACAGATGGTAATGATGGAACAGCTGGATCCTACCCTTCTTCAAATGAAGACTGAAGTAATGGAGGGTACGGTGGCTCCCGAAGCAGAGGCTGCAGTGGACGATACACAAATCATAACCTTGCAAGTTGTAAATATGGAGGAACAGCCCATTAATATAGGAGAGCTTCAGCTTGTTCAAGTACCTGTTCCTGTGACTGTACCTGTTGCTACCACTTCGGTAGAAGAACTTCAGGGGGCTTATGAAAATGAAGTGTCTAAAGAGGGCCTTGCAGAAAGTGAACCCATGATATGTCACACATTACCTTTGCCTGAAGGGTTTCAGGTGGTGAAAGTGGGGGCCAATGGAGAGGTGGAGACACTAGAGCAAGGTGAACTTCCACCTCAGGAAGATCCAAGCTGGCAGAAAGACCCAGACTATCAGCCACCAGCCAAAAAAACAAAGAAAACCAAAAAGAGCAAACTGCGTTACACAGAGGAGGGCAAAGATGTGGATGTGTCTGTCTATGATTTTGAAGAAGAGCAGCAGGAAGGCCTGCTGTCAGAAGTTAATGCAGAGAAAGTGGTTGGTAATATGAAGCCTCCCAAACCAACAAAAATTAAAAAAAAAGGTAAAGTAGTAGTCTCAAAAGTATTTTGAACTAATGATACAACTGTTCACATACAAGTTACTTTGTTATATTAAATTTATTTTTCAAGTTATTAAGTTCTAAAGAGAAGTAAATCTGTTAGTGCAATGACATAATTTCAACTTACATGAGTTACATTGGCTTTAGTTACAAAAACCAATGAAATATATTTGTAGAAATTAAAGTCTGTGCCAACCTAAGTACATTGAAACCCTATAGCAAGTGTTTTCTTTTGCATATAGGTGTAAAGAAGACATTCCAGTGTGAGCTGTGCAGTTATACATGTCCACGGCGTTCAAATTTGGATCGTCACATGAAAAGCCACACTGATGAAAGACCACATAAATGCCATCTCTGTGGCAGGGCATTTAGAACAGTCACCCTCCTGAGGAATCACCTTAACACACACACAGGTGCTGTATGAAAATGTGAAGACTGTAATATAAATTTGGGTTTCAATTATCCACATTGATTACAGGGAGAAAGATAAAGGAGTATTTCTGTAGGGTTTTTGTGCCTTTTTTGCAATCTTAATTTGATTTTTTTTTTTTTTTTTTTTCCTGTCGTGGGGCTTGAACTCTGGGCCTAACTCTAGGCTTGAACTCTGGACATAAGCTGTCCCTCAGCTCAAGGCTAGCGCTCTACCTCTTGAGCCACAACACCACTTCCAGCTTTTTCTGCTTATGTGGTGCTGAGGAATCCAACCCAGGGCCTCATACATGCAAGGCAAGCATTTTACCATTGAGCCACCTTCCCAGCCCCAATTTTTTCTTTTTTTTTGGTCGGTTATGGGACTTGAACTCTGGGCTTGGGCGCTGCCCCTGTACTCTTCAGCTCAAGGCAAGTGCTCTTCCTCTTGAGCCATAGCGCCATTTTCAGTTTTCAAGTGTTTTTTTGGAAAGAAGAGTCTCACGGACTTTGCTACCCAGGCTGGCTTTGAACCTGGATCCTCAGATCTCAGCCTCCTGAGTAGCTAGGATTGTAGACATGAGCCACTGGTGCCGGGCTCCCAATTAAAAAAAAAAAAAAGCATATGGACTTAGTTATAGGTGAATGTCAAGAAAACTTAGTGGAAGCCAAATACTTGTGGCTCATGACTATAATCCTAGTTACTCAAGAGGCTGAGTCTTGAGTCTCCAGAGTCTCTGAGTTCTAAGGTTTATGAAGCTGTAGCTGTACTACATGCCCACCAAGCTAAAGAGGCTGCCCAGAAAGCAGTTAACAACAGTGCCACTGGTGATCCAACTGTTAAAAAATTCATCAGAGACCATGAAAAGAAACTCGTGCTTCACCAAAGAAAAATATCTAAACATCGAAAAACCTAAATATAATGGAAAGAAAATTGTAAAATATAAAATAAAATAATTTTAAAAAGGAAAGAAAACTGAACCTTATGTACTGAGCAAATGCCAGATCTAGCAAACAGTGCTAGGCCTATATTACTTGATTTAAAATCAACAAAAAAAACTACAAAAAATAGTAAAATATAAAACAATGTTAGACCTGGGAAAAAGAATTTTCAGCAAAGTACAAAAATTTAAAGCATTCCTTTAATTTTCTAATTCTTTACTGTGGAATAGCTCAGGATGTCAGTTCTAAATAACAGAATTAATAACTGTGCAAGGAAATGTAATTTGGATTATAAAATTCTTGCTTTAATAAAATTCCTTAAACAGTGGGGGTGGGGGGAAGAGGCTGAGAGTTAGAGGACTGGGGTTTAAAACCAGCCCAAGCAGAAAAGTCTCTGAGACTATAACCAGCAAAAGCATTCAAGTGGTAGAATGCCAATTATAAACAAGAAAGCCAAGCAAGAGTATGAGGCCTGGAGTTCAATCCACAGTTTTGGCCCCAAAAGAAAATGCTTAGTGGAAAATAATCCAAATGATTTAAAGGAGATGAACCAGAAAAAAAGGCTATCTGATTGTTATTTGGAATAATTCCTAGAAACCTGACCGTTGTGTTACTGAGGTTTATATAGTAATTACAGAAAAGTCCAAAAAGTTCCACATAACAATTGTCAGGCACTATGAGGATGAACAGAAATTGAAGTAAAACCCTGAGTAATTCATAATTGGAGAATGTAAGGTTTAAAATATTTTTTAGGCAATTTGAATGTTCAGGGGGTAGGGGTATAATTCAAATGGTAGGGTACTTTCCTAGGTTCAATCCCCATACCCTATCTCAAAAACAAGAACAACAGTGGCAGAACACTTAATGTCGCCTATGTGAGGCACTGGGCTCGATTGCTAACACCATAAACCAAGCAAGTGTAAAACCATTCATTTGTCCAAGTGCCATATATACTTTAATAAGTTGTTCAAATATTCTAATATTAGCTTGGTGAACTGGTTTGAAACGTTGAAAATATATTGGACATATGACTAAAAGCTGGCCCTATGGTAGGATATGTCAACATGAGTGTGCCTTAATGTAGACAGTCTCCTGTTCTAGACTTTTAGCTTTGCAAATGAGAAGTTGGATCTTTCTGGTCTCAGAGCTGATTAGGTAGAAGTTCATCCATCTAGTAACCAAGCCTGCAAGAGATTGACAGGGCTAGAGGTGTGGCTCAAATAGTACAGCAGCCTGGCAAGTACAAGATCCTGAATTTAAATTCTAGTATGACCTAAAGGAAGGAATCACATATATACACAGAGTGCCAGTTTATAGTGGGGAACAATTTTTTTCTTTTCTTTTTTTTGTCAGTCATGGGGCGTGAACTCTGGGCTTGGGTTCTGTCCCCGAGCTCTTCAGCTCAAGGCTAATTCTCTACCACTTTGACCCACAGCGCCACTTCTGGTTTTCTGATGGTTAATTGGAGATGAGTCTCACCAACTCAGATCTCAGCCTCCTTTGTAGCTAGGATTACAGGAGTGAGGCAGGCTTATCTTTTCATTTTCTAAATGCAGTTGTGTAAGAGAAGCTCTTGCCTATGTCAAGATGTAATAAATGAGAGATGACTGAATGAGCATGGATCTTGGGCAGAAAGACAGTGGTTATGTAGTGCAACCTGGTGGAAATTCTTCCACAGCAGTGTCTACTTCATTAATGTCATGACATGCTTACTTCTACCAGAGGCAAACCTCTTCCCCCTGGGAAGTACTAGGGTAAATAACACCAAAAGTTATTTTTCAGCTTATCTGTCCTAACAGAAATGAATACAAAATGAATACAACTAATTGTTTTACTTATCCTTACATCTGTACTATACACTTACCACAGAAGAACTATCCTTCACACCCTCCTACACCTTTAGTAGTACTGAAGAAGGAAGGTGAATGAACAAATGAATATTCCTTCCTTAGAATTTCTTACGGTCTTTTTTTTTTTTTGGTCGGTTGTGGGGCTTGAACCCTGGGCTTGGGCACTGTCCTTGCACTCATCAGCTCAAGGCAAGCACTCTACTGCCTGAGCCACAGGACCACTTCCCATTTTCTAGTGTTTTTTATTGGAGATGAGTCTCACGGACTTTTCCTGCCTGGCCTGGCTTTGAACCGTGATCCTCAGATCTCAGCCTCCTGAGTAGCTAGGATTTACAGGCATGAGCCACCGGTGCCCAGTCTTATTGTCATTTTCTATTTATACTTAACACTCTAGAATTCTTCCCATCCTCTTAGGAAATATTTCTGCACATGACTGGACCTATTCATTACATTGTTTTACATTGTTACACTTGTACTTCCTTTTTTTTTTTTTTCCTTTTTCTTTTTCTTTTTGTCCTAGTCCTACAGCTTGTACTAAGAGCCTGGGCACTGTCCCTAAGCTTTTGTGCTCAAGGCTAATGCTCTTCCACTTGAGCCATATCCCCACTTTCAGCCTTACGGTTGTTAATTGGAGATAAAAGAGTCTCAGGTTTTCCTGTCCAGGCTGGCTCTGAACTATGAAATCCTCAGATCTCAGCCTCCTGAATAGATAGGATTGTGGGCATGAAGCCACAAGCACCTGGATTTACTTCCATTCTGTTTTTGATTTTTAGTTTTGGGTGTTTTTGTTTTTTTTTGGTTTGGTTTGGCTTTGGTTTTTTGGCCATTGAGCTTGAACTCAGGGTCTGGGCACTGTCCCTGACCTCTGCTCAAGGCTAGCACTTTACCACTTTGAGCTACCCCCAGTTTTCTGGTGGTTACTTGTAGACAAGAATTGTATTACAGATTTTCCTCCCTGGTCTGGCTTCAAACTGTGGTATATGTAGGTGGTAGTAATAGTACTGAGGTTTTGAATTCAGGCCTTTTGAGTCCTAGGCAGGGCCTCTACCACTTGAGACACATCATCAGCTGAGTTTTTGGGTTTTGGATTTTTTTTTTTAAGGGGTAGGTTTATTCATCGTTCCGGCTGGCACCAGGCCATCTTGGTCCTCCACGAGGTGGGGAAAGGGCTGGGAAAGAGAGAGAGAAGAGCTAGGAAAGAACAGAGAGAGAACAGAGAGAGCTAGAAAAGAACAGAGAAAGAGACAGTTGGGTTTTGGGTTTTTTTGGGGGAGAGTCATGGGCTTTGAACTCTGGGGCTAGGCGTTGTCACTCAGCTCTTCAGCTCAAGGCTAGCATTCTACCACTTGAGCCACAGCACCACTTCCAGTTTTCTGATGGTTTATTGGAGATAAGAGTCTCACGGACTTTCCTGACCATGTTGGCTTTGAACCTCGATCCTCAGAGCTCAGCCTCCTGAGTAGTGAGGATTACAGGCGTGAGCCACCAGCACCCAGCTCCCCATCCCCCGTCCCCCGCCCCCACCCGGTTGTGGGGCCTGAACTCTGGTCCTGGGCACTGTCCCTCAGCTCTTCAGCTCAAGGCTAGCACTCTACCACTTGAGCCACAGTACCACTTCAAGCTTTTTCTGCTTATGTGGTGCTGAGGAATTGAACCCAGGGCTTCATGCATGCAAGACAAGCACTCTACTACTGAGCCACCTTCCCAGCCCTCAGCCTGAGTTTTTTTTTGGGGGGGGGAGGGTCCGGTCATGGGGCCTGAACTCTAGGCCTGGGGGCCATCCCTCAGCTCTTCAGCTCAAGGCTAGCACTCTACCACTTGAGCCACAGTGCCACTTCCGGCTTTTTTCTTTTTGCTTATGTGGTGCTGAGGAATCGAACCCAGGGCCTCAGGCATGCAAGGCAAGCACCACTGAGCCACCTTCCCAGCCCCTCAGGCTGAGTTTTTATCAACTTTCAATCCATAGTGATTGGATACAAAATAGGGGCAAAAAGGGGTTTTGTATTCAAAGGTAGCAGATTCAAATTAGATAATAAGCAAAAAAGTTTGGTGTGTTCTTGCATCCTGTGTTGTAAATTTAGCTAGGCCTTCCCATGTCTTGTAGAACTAGTCTTGGGTTAAGGGAGAGTTGATAGGATGACTGAATTCTCATCTTAGGCAACAGTTGTGTGCTATACTTTGAACTCTGTATCATTAACTATGCCTTTGATCTTGTTCTGTTGTCCTTTTCTCTATCTAGGTACTCGTCCTCACAAGTGCCCAGACTGTGACATGGCCTTTGTGACCAGTGGAGAATTAGTGCGGCATCGTCGTTACAAACATACCCATGAGAAGCCATTTAAGTGTTCCATGTGTGATTATGCCAGTGTAGAAGTGAGTGTCAAGTTCCTTGTTGGTATCTTTCATGGTAGACCTGTAATCTGGCACTACTAAAGAAAATCAATTCGGGCTGGGAAGGTGGCTCAGTGGTAGAGTGCTTGCCTTGCATGCCTGAGGCCCTGGGTTTGATTCCTCAGCACCACATAAGCAAAAAGAAAAAAGCTGGAAGTGGCGCTGTGGCTCAAGTGGTAGAGCGCTAGCCTTGAGCTGAAGAGCTGAGGGACAGCAGCCAGGCCCAGAGTTCAGGCCCCACAACTGGACCAAAAAAAAGAAAATCAATTCAACATGTCAATATATGAATTGATTAATATCAATATCTTGATGATTAATATCACCTTTTTTTGATAGAGCAAACATGTTTACTTGTCTCAAAAAAAATTGAAGGTGGGCTGGGAAGGTGGCTCAGTGGAAGAGCCCTTGCCTTGCATGCCTGAGGTCCTGGGTTCGATTCCCCAGCACCACATAAGCAAAAAGAAAAAAGCCGGAAGTGGGGCTGTGGCTCAAGTGGTAGAGTGCTAGCCTTGAGCTGAAGAGCTGAGGGACAGCGCCCAGGCCCAGAGTTCAGGCCCCACGACTGGACCCAAAAAAAAAAAATTGAAGGTGATTAAGAATAGCTTACATAAAAGTTCTCAAAGTCCTCTATGTTGAATTGAAACTCCTTTGTACAACTACTTGAAGATAATAAACATTTTAAAAGATTTAAAAAAAAAGAAGAAAATCAGATCTGAGGGTCATGGTTCAAAGCCAGCCTTATTAGGAAAATCTGTGAGACTTTTTAAAACTCAGCAAAAAGCCAAAAGTAAAAGTGTAGCTCAAGTGGTAGAGCACCAACTTTGAGTAGAAAAGCCAATGGAGGGCAAGAGCCCCTGAGTTAATGCCCCAGGACTGCTGCAGATTTTTGTCTGGAAGAGTAAATGTGAATGGTTAGCTAAGAAAAATTTGGAAGCTATAGAGGTGCTTGCCTAACATATGCAAGGCCCAGTGTTCACTTCCCAACATTGCAAGAGAGAAAGAGAACAGCTCAGTAATGCTGTTGGGATAGTTACTAACTTAACAGTGTGAAATTTTAATGTGTAAAACGTAAATGCAGAAATTTTTTTGTTTTTCATAAAATCAGAGCAACTTAAATTTCAAGCTAGATACTGGTGATTCACACCAGCACTCAGGAGACTGAGATCTGAGGATCACGGTTCAAAGCCAACTTGGGCAGAAAAGTCCATGAAAGAGGCAGAGGCTCACACCTGTCATCCTAGCTGCTCAGGAGGCTGAGATCTAAGGATCACAGTTTGAAGCCAGCCTGGACAGAAAAGTCCCCATGATACTCTTTATTTCCAATAAACTCAAAAACGCCAGAAGTGGCACTGTGGCTCTAGTGGTAGAGTGACAGCCTTGAGCACAAAGAGGCTCAGGGACAGTGCCCAAGCACTAGGATCAGCAAAAAAGAAAAGTCCATGAGACTTTTATCCTCAATTACCATCAGAAAACGAGAAGTGGCTCTGTGGCTCAAAGTAGTAGAGCACTAGCCTTGAGCTTAGGGACAGCACCCAGGCCAAGTTCAAGTCCCCAGGCCCCCTTCCTCCCACCCCCCCCCAAAAAAATCAAGTTACTGAGTACTCCAAGTAGTTTGAAAGTCACTTTGGAACAGGTGCTATCCATGCCTAGATCCTAGCCTGCTAAAAAATGCTAATGATAAAAAAGAGAGTGGGACAAAGCGGGCCTTGGTGGCTCACGCCTGTAATCCTAGCTACTCAGGAGGCTGAGATCTGAGGATCACGGTTTAAAGCCAGCCCAGGCAGAAGAGACCGTGAGACTCCTATCTCCAATAAACCACCAGAAAACCGGAAGTGGCGCTGTAGCTCAAGTGGTAGAGCGCTCGCCTTGAGCTGAAGAGCTGAGGGATAGCGCCCAGGCCCAAAGTTCAAGCCCCGCTACCGACAAAAAAAAAAAAAAAAAAGAGAGAGAGTGGGACAATTAAAACATGCACTTGGTGTTGGAGAAAATAAGTAGGCATGAATGATTTACATATGATTATGGAAAGTTTCAAACAAACTTTAAAACAGCTACATCTTTTAACTACTAGAGATGTAGCTTAGTGGTAGAGTGTTTACCAAGCATGCATGAGGCCCTGAGTTTGATCACCAGCACCACACACATACACACACAAAAGTAAAATAGTAAAGAGAAAAGCACATACCTTATCACACACTTAAAGCAATTACCAATAGTAATTAATCCTTTTTTTGTGTGCTCATGGTACTGGGGTTTAAACTGAGGGCTTACCCTTGCTAGTCATTATCTTTTAGACTTTTCCTGCCTGAAGTGCCCTAAAACTAATCAAGTAAGCATTTGTACCTAATCTATAGTGTTCATGCTAGCAGTCTGTTAACAGAAGCATAAGAGGTTTGATTGCTTTCATATTACAGGTCAGCAAATTAAAACGTCACATTCGCTCTCATACTGGAGAGCGCCCGTTCCAGTGCAGTTTGTGCAGTTATGCCAGCAGGGACACATACAAGCTGAAAAGACATATGAGAACACATTCAGGTAGGATTTCTCCCCTCCTGGTATTAGTGAGCTCTTTTCAATGATCCTATAATAGCCTGTGAGTCACCGCATACAGTCATTGAGTACCTGAATGGAAGACTTAACAAAGGCTCTGGCTTAGCCTCTGAATGCATAATTTTAAATCTAGAGTTTTTAACTCTAGTCTTTTTTGTTAAAGTGTAGTAACATGCACTGCACCTAGCCATTGTGCTTCCCTGGTAAGTGGGACAACAGGTGCACTCCACTGTGCCCAGTCCTTGGTTGAGATGCTGTATATGGTGGCACATGATTGTAATTCCACATATGGAATGCTGAGGCAAGAGACTCAAGAGTCTGAGGCCAGCCTAAGGCTACAGTATCGACTTTGAGAGCAGTCTGGTCTACATTGCATGAAAGAAAAAGGAAAAAAATATTTAAAGACAAGAAAAAGTTGGAAGTCCTCCATTAGTCTCTCCCAAAGATTGGCCTTGCCATGGAAATTATCTTTTTACATGGAAGATTATGTAGAAAAGCTAGACAGCAGAAGTTTAGGGTTTGTCATCTCTGAAGATAGGCTTGAGCTTGACATACAGAATAATTCTCAGACTTACTAAGTAGAACCTTAGAGTTTCTATGGCCCAGTATATCTGTCTGCCACATTAGTTACTCCCAACTGAATCATAATATTCATTTAATTTGTTTATTCTGTATTTCCTTTTAAGGGGAAAAACCTTATGAATGTTATATTTGTCATGCTCGGTTTACCCAAAGTGGTACTATGAAGATGCACATTTTACAGAAGCACACAGAAAATGTGGCCAAATTTCATTGTCCCCACTGTGACACTGTCATAGCCCGAAAAAGTGACTTGGGTAAGTAGATTTACTAAAGGCAAATGAAAAACAGAAAGTATAATGAAGGTGGAAAGAGCCATTGATACCTGGAGTCTGTCTGCTCTTCTTGCTTCTACCATTTTCCCTCCTTTTTTTTTTTTTTGGCTAGTACTGGGGATTGAATTCAAGGCTTCTCACTCACTGGGCAGGTGCTCTACCACTTCAGGCACTCCTCCAGTCCATTTTTGTCTTGGTTATTTTCTTTTTTTTTTTTTTTCTTTTTTTGCCAGTTGTGGGGCCTGAACTCTGGGCCTGGGCACTGTCCCTCAGCTCTTCAGCTCAAGGCTAGCGCTCTACCATTGAGCCACAGTACCACTTCCAGCTTTTTCTGCTATGTGGTGCTGAGGAATCGAACCCAGGGCCTCATGCATGCAAGGCAAGCACTCTACCACTGAGCCACCTTCCCAGCCCCTGTCTTGGTTATTTTCAAGCCCAGCCTATGATCATTTGACTTGTTCTTCCATGTGTTTGTAGGGATGACAGTCATACGCACTGCACCTAGCCATTGTGCCCAGTCCTTGGTTGAGATGGCCTTTTGGAAAATTATAATAGATACATATTTTTTGTTGGTCGTGAAGCTTGAACTCAGAGCCTGGGTGCTGTCCCTGACCTTTTTCGCTCAAGGTTGGCACTCTACCACTTTGAGCCACAGCGCTGCTTCCAGCTTTTTGGTGGTTAATTGGAAATGAATCTCATAGACTTTCCTGTTTGGGCTGGCATTGAATTGTGATTCTCAGATCTCAGCCTCCTGAGTAGGTAGGATTACAATTGTGAGCCACTGGTGGCCGGCTTATTTTTGAAAATCTTTTTGCCTGAACTGATCTCCCAATCTCCACCTCCCAAGTAGCTAGCATTGTATCCTTGAGCCATTATACCTGACTTAGATTTTTATTTTTAAAGCCTAATCCATAGACTTCCTTTTTCCTTTTAACATTTGCCTTTGTGATCTCATCAGCTCCATAATCTCATTCAAGCCCCCAAACAAAATTGATGTTCCTATTTCAGATTTTTTTTGTTGGAGGGGGGAGAGAGATTGAATTTGTTTGTAGGGCTTGAACTCAAGGTCTGGGCTCTGTTCCTCCCTAAGCTTTTTCACTGAAGGCTAGCACTCTACTTCTGTGAGCCACACTGCCATTTCCAGTTTTCTGGCAGTTAATTGGAGATAAGAGTCTCATAGACTTTCCTGCCTGGGCTGGCTTTGAACCATAATCCTCAGATCTCAGCCTTCTGAGTATAGCTAGATTACAGGTGTGAGCCACCAGCACCTGGCTAGGTTTGTGTGTATGTGTACGTGTGTGTACACATGAGTACATGTGCGCACGTGTGTGCATGTATGCACCGATCCTGGAATTTGAACTCTGGGCCTAGGCTCTGTCCAGGATTAGCACTCTACCACTTGAGCCACAGCTTCAATTTTGGTGCTTAATTGGAGATAAAAGAGTCTTGTGGACTTTGTACCAGTCTGGCTTCCAACTGCAATCCTCAGATCTCAACCTCCTGCGTAGCTAGGATCCACAGGCATGAGTCACTGGCTCCTGGCTTCTTCCTGTTTCAGATCTTTGAGTTAGATTTCCTTTGTAGCCATTTATCCATTGCTATAATCATCTCTACTTCAATAACACTGCAATTGTAAATTCAACATGTGAAACTAAAGCTCTATATAACTATTCCACACTTTACCATCAAAATAGACACACACAGCTTAGTCTTCATCTTTTTCCACAATTCACACACTCACTCACACACACACACACACATACACACTAATTTCAGTAGATTTCCCTGACATGCATCTTCTTCCATAGTCAGTAACTCTTCCTGGCCTCACTTCTTGGGTTTCTCATCACTTCTTTACTTCTAAATCCTTTGCCAGCCTTCTTGTCCAGCCTGCCATCTTCTCCCACCTACCTAATTTAATTGCTTTCTCTCTTTTTGATGCTAAGTGCTAGACTGCTGAACTTACACAACTTCAGCCAGCCCACAGAATAATTTAAGAAGTAGAATAAATGTAGGAGTAATTTGTTGCAATGCTTGTTTGTGTTTTCAAAAGTTCAGCTTGGCTTTTTATATTTTGCTCTCAGGTGTCCACTTGCGGAAGCAGCATTCCTATATTGAGCAAGGCAAGAAATGCCGTTACTGCGATGCTGTGTTTCATGAGCGTTACGCCCTCATTCAGCATCAGAAATCACACAAGAACGAGAAGCGCTTTAAGTGTGACCAGTGTGATTATGCTTGTAGACAGGTAGGAACTGTCATAGTTACAAGGCCATTAATGCCTGTCCTATCCATGTCGGGTATTCTCAGTACCTAGTACAGTGACTACTTCTAAGAAAAATACCTTCAAATTGGTTTATGAGGGCCCTCACCAAAATCAAAGGTTCCTTGTCAGTTGTATCTGGGTCTTCAGCTGGTGTTTAAGTCAGTCAGATTTACCCAGTCCTAAGACTGACTACACTTCTTTCTCAAAACCGTGTTGGAGTTAAGTCCAGAATTTGAGGGAAGAACATAATCTGGTTCTGTGACATGTTCAGACTTAAGAGAAACAGCCCACTAGGGGTGAACAGATTTCTTTGTGCTAGGATTTATGGAAGCAGTTTTGAATTCTTGTAAAAGATAACTTTATCATGTCAACAAGTAGTGTCAGGTTAGCCCCTGTTGTAAGGGAAAGGCCACATGCACAGCAGCTGGGATGGTGGCCCTGTAACCAGGCCCTGGGGCCTCTTTCCTGTTGTCTCTGTTTTCAGGAGAGGCACATGATCATGCACAAGCGCACCCATACTGGGGAAAAGCCTTACGCCTGCAGTCACTGCGACAAGACCTTCCGCCAGAAACAGCTCCTCGATATGCATTTCAAGCGCTACCATGACCCTAACTTCGTCCCTGCGGCCTTTGTCTGTTCTAAGTGTGGGAAAACATTT